ACTAATTAAATTAAATAACGAGAGTTGTTATCAAGCGATATTCAATTCTCACGAGTTGTTAAACCTATTTCTCTTATGGTAAACATTCTTATTATGTTGAATTAAAAATTCCAAAAATCGTTTAACTAGTCTTTTGTACTGGCAGACCAGAATGACGTCATATATCCTGTTTTGGTGTCAAACTTTAACATCAGACATTTTAAAACTTTTTGTACGCTACAGAATGTAATAGAATTTGAAAAATGTGACTGTTTTGTATAGTATTGCAGAAATCCCATATCTCTGTTGCCACTGGCGAAATGTATATCGTCCTAACCTTTGAAATGCAGCAATGACCTAACGAATAGCCAATGGAAAAGTAGCAATGCTGGATAAGCCAATAAAATTAACGAATTTTTTGTTTCACTTTTTCTAATCACACTCCTAGCATCGTATCACGTATCAGTCTGCATTTGGCATGAACAAGTTTAGAAAAATCTTTATACTTTATTCAAAGAAACAATATTATGACACATCTTCAATCTCAGTTTGTAAAGTGTTCCATATTAGAGATCCAGTAAACATAAATCACTTCATTCACAAATATTTTGGCTTTCGAAGATATTCGTAAACAGCAGTTTTGATTGTCAACGAAATGAATATTTTCTTGGAAATAGCAATGAACAATATCATGTAAAAACACGTATAGTCGTTTTTTTCAAAATATAACCAATTCCAACTGTTAAGGATAGAGGCGAAAGATACCCAAATGGATATTCAAACTCATTAATCGAAAATGAACTGACAACGCCATGACAAAATAAGAAAAAAGACCAAAAAAATCAACAACAGTACACAAAACACAACATAGAAAACTAAAGACTGAGCAACTTAAACAATGAAGTAGAACTATGAATATTTTTTGTTAAAAATTAATCGAGTTTATCGACATTTCTATGGGAACCAACTTTGCCCCTTACTTGCCGACTTGTTCTTTTATTCACACGAGACAGACCTCTTACATGAGCTTCTCAGGAAAAGCGAAAAGAAGCTATCATTATCCTCTAACTTAACAAGATAACTTATCCTCTAACTTAACAACATTATCAAGATGCTTGATTTCTTGATTGACAACATATTTGTTACGTTTGGAGGACGTGTTGTTCAACAGACTGTCGGAATTTCAATGGGAACCAATTGTGCCCCTCTTCTTGCCGACTTGTTTCTTTATTATTATGTGGCTGACTTCATACAGGAACTTCTTAGGAAGAGAGATAAGAAGCTAGCAATATCTTTTAACTTTACCTTCCGCTATATAGATGATGTTTTCTCACTAAATAATACAAAATTTGGTGACTATGTTGAACGAATCTATCCTATCGAGCTAGAGATAAAGGATACTACAGATACAGTTAAGTCTGCCTCATATCTTGACTTACATCTAGAAATTGACAATGAGGGTTCGTTAAAAACAAAACTTTACGACAAAAGAGATGATGTCAGCTCCCCAATTGTGAACTTTCCATTTCTATGTAGCAACATTCCAGCAGCGCCTGCATACGGAGTATATATCTCCCAATTGATAAGATATTCCCGGGCTTGTATTTCCTATCATGATTTCCTTGATAGAGGATTGCTGTTCACAAGGAAGCTATTAAACCAAGAGTTCCAAATGGTAAAGTTGAAATCATCCCTTCGTAAATTTTACGGACGCCATCACGAGTTGGTTGACCGTTATGGAATAACCGTTTCAAAGATGATATCGGATATGTTCCTTATGTCGTAACTACAATACCCTTCCTTTTTCACGAATGTGACCTACCGAATTAGACTATTTACCGGATTTGTAATAACATAAGCAACACGACGGGTGCCACATGTGGAGCAGGATCTTCTTTCCATTCCGGATTACCTAGGATCACTCGGCTTTTGAGAGATCCCGATGAAGTAAAATCCGATAAGCGCTTCGGACGCATGAAATTTTTAACGTGTTGTTTTCATATGTATTTTGGGAGCCGTCCATTTATGTGTAGCAATATTTCAGCAGTGCCTGCATATAGAGTTTACATCTTCAAGTTAATACGATACTCCAGAGCTTGCGTTTCTTGATGCCCTTGATAGACGGTAACGTTTTACAAGGAAGCTATTGAACTAAGGTTTCCATGTGGTAAAGTTGAAGTCATCTTTTTGAACGTTTTACAAACGCCATCTTGAGGTGACTGACCGTTAAGGAATATCTTTGTCACAGATGAACTCGGTAATGTTCCATTTGTTGTAACCACAATCCCGTCCTCTTTTCTCGATTGTGATATCACCAAATGACACTTATCGCCGTTTATGTACATTTTGGGAGCAACTTGACAGTTTCCAAATGTGGAACATGATCTACTTACCCTACCGGAGTACCTGAAATCACCCTTATATAGTGTTGTTTAAAAGAAGTTAGTGTTGCTCTTGCTTTTGTTCTCAGTGTTGCACTTTGTGCTTTCTCATTTTTGAATATCTGTTTCTACTGGTAACATATCTATCCTTTGTCATAAAAACGTGTTTCAATTTCAAATTTTCAGATTCGGTCAGGTTTTAGGGTAAGATAATTATACTTGACCGTTGGTTAACGAATTTGGTGTAGTCTTAGTGTTAGATATGAACTAATCATAGATACCAGGATAAGAGACAATTAGAAATCCGCTATTGTGCGCTACCTTATCACTTGATAAAACGTGACTTTTTGCCTTTATGTTAGTTTGTGTTTCGTACCAATATGATGACTTTTGAAACTTATTTCTATAGTTTTATTCTTTCGTGCAGTTTCACCACTGTTCTAGGTTAGAGGAGGATTGAGCGTTCACAGACATATGTACGTGACTGTCCTTATGTCCGAAAGCTGTAGCTCAGCGGTTGTAGTTGTCACTGTCGGTCACATTTATTTTCCTTATTGTTTTGTCAAAGATCAGTCTGTTGGTTTTCACGTTTTAATTGTTTAATATTGTGTCATTTTAGGGCCTTTACAATGACTATACTTTTGCTTTTGCATTGTTAAAGCCATTTTGTGAACTATAATTGAATACATCGATGTCAGTTGGACTCTGATTGATAGTTGTCTCATTGGCAATTGTACCAGTTTTCCTTATTTTTATATATGTGAAGTCATCTGTATACATATCAACTTGTAAGCCATATGAATGATAGCGTAAACAATAACCTTGATACAAAGCATTTTGTTTAATTGCTTTCGAATCAGACATAGACGTATTGACCTTAACTTGTTGTATTCGTTCAAACAGGTATGAGTGAAGTCGATCTAATGTTCAATTCGAAACATTACAATATTCCTGTTACCTCAACAAGTTGTGTTTTTTTAACTAGATCAAAAGCTTTCATCAAATATATAATGAATTACATTGCTATCTCCATTATCTACTTAATAACAATTTATTTATAAGTTTTAGCAAGTACAGTGTTGCACGAATGTTTAGATCTGAAACCTGACTGCGAATAAACATGTATTAAATTGATAAGCAATATGCCTTTCAATGTTTTAAAAAAACTGGGCAAAACTGCTATAGATCTATAATAATCAGGATTAGACATGTCACATTTTTTGGCATATTCAATATTCAAATATTCTTAAAATATTATCTCCTTATTTCTTTATACTAGATTTTTTTCTATTTCAATTTTAAAGGAACTAATTAATCTCATAATGAACTAGTTAATCTCATAATGAACTAGATGGACGATAAAAAAAAAAAACCTTTTTATACAAAATTTGTGTTCTGGAATGTCATTGTAATTCATAGAGACTCAATACCACATATTTCAATGTTATTTTTTCTCCCGTGACAAACACCATTGAATGATAACACTATGTTAATTCTCAAACGATAATTAGACACATTTTACCAATCTAAGATTTTAAAGAAACAGACATATTGCTTTATTAAAATATCACCTCTTTATGAACATATTATACCTTAACACAATGACAGCCACTCTCAATAAAAAGAAGAGACTATGGATAAAATCAAATAACATACAAACTGTTTACGGTTATATATGTCTTTTTTCTTTTCAATTTGATTTCTGATCAGATATTTCAGATAACAAATAACAATTTTTCATGAATAAAAACCTGCATTTATTATATGAACTATTCATTTGAGATGACAAACAATTGGAAAGAACGCTATACTGGACAGAAGTAGGGACTTCATTTAAGAATAGCCTGCTATCTTTGATAAGTTTTGTTTTATGCAAACATGTTATGACATATAATATTGTGTCTACTATGATTAGCTTGGTGGTATGTAACCCTTTATATTACACGCTGTATTTTAACATGATACTGTAGTTAGTATGTTGCAAAACATCTTCATTTACAAAAATGAAATCTCAACAGTATTGCATGAAACCAAACAATGGAAATATGAAATAATCAATTCTTTTTATGAATACAAAAATTATTATTTTCCTTCTTAATATATAATTGTTGATAAATCATACAGTAAACACAACAGTAACATGCACAACTCAATAAAATCGCGGGGACTGTGTTAAAATATTGGTGCAAACATCGAAACAAGCTTCGGTGTAAACGTACTTAACATCAGAAGATTTCCACAATTAAACATTGAACGTTGGTTATATATTTAAATGAAATGACAAGTCCTAAATGGATACATTTCCCACTGTATTTCTTTTACAGTTTGTTCTTATACTGCTCTGTTATACCATTGTTTAAATAATAAATTTGAGACAACAGTAGTTTATCGATGTTATAATCCCTTAAATCGATTCTTAATATACAAATCAAGGTAAAAATAAACTTGAAGGAATCGTTATATGACACAATCGGTACGTTTACAAATCAGACGACTTTTCTGCTATCTAAACAGCTGAGACCGTATAAAATATGTTGCTAAATGTGTTATTCAAAAGGCCCGAAATATCGTTATCTAAATCCATCAATTGGAAACACACATCAAAATACTGATGGATTCAGCCGAGGATTATGCCAGGCAATGGGTAAAATACAAGAAAGAAGACGTAGATACACTTTCCGAATGGATCAAGGCTGTGAGGTCGTTGATACAAAGCAGAATTAAAAAAAAAAATGAATGGGTCTATGAATACCCATGCTACATCTATCTTTACAAACTTAAATATTGCAAAACATCTGTCCTACCTCCACGACAAATATGTTGGTGTTCCCTTAGATAAATCACCAAACAAAATCGTTTTTGTGTGTAAATCACATTTCATAAACTGCTTAATAAATGAATTAGGTATTGACAATTCACTTTGGAACTCAACATATACACCGACGACACATACCAAGGAGAAAATCCTGGATAATCATAGGTCTTTACTGTGTTCTTTCGGAATTTCAACCAAAGATGACGAACTGGATCTTCCTTCACTGTATTGGATACCTAAACTACATAAGTATCCTTACAAACAACGTTATATTGCTGGGTCTTCCAAGTGCTAAACGAAACCTCTTTCTTAATTATCAACATCAATTTTATTACCAATCAAAGACGGGCTTCGAAGTTATTGTGAATCTACCTTTCTAGAGGTGGCGTGAATCAGATGTGGATACTTAAAATTCCAAAGATCTTTTAGAGTATATACAATCTAAGAGTCTTTCATCTTGCAATAGTATTAAAACATTGATTTTTCTACACTTTACACAAATATTCCCCATTCCAAACTAAAAGACAAATTGAAAGAGTTGGTCCCGCTTTGTTTCATGAAAAAAAATGGCCAACGTGGATACACGTATCTTGTCCTAAGGAGGTATAAATCGTACTTTGTTACAAATCACTCTGATTCCAACAAAAAATTCTCTGAAACTGACATTATCAAAATGCTTGATTTCTTGATTGACAACATATTTGTTATGTTGGGAAGACATGTTTTTCAGCAAACAATCGGCAATCCAATGGAAGCTAACTGTGCTCCTCTTCTTGCCGACTTGTTCCTTTATTCATATGAGGCTGATTTCAAACAGAAACTTCTTAGGAGAAAAGAAAATAATTTGCAGTATCCTTAAACTTTACTTTCCGCTATATAGATGATGTTCTCTCACTAAATAGTTCAAAATTTGGTGACTATGTTGAACGAATCTATCCCATCGAACTTGAGATAAAGGATACAACAAATACAGATCTTGACTCACATCTAGAAATTGACAATGAGGGTCGGTTGAAAACAAAACTTTACGACAAAAGAGATGATTTCAGCTTCCCAATTGTGAACTTTCCATTTCTATGTAGCCACATTCAAGCAGCGCCTGCATACGGAGTATATATCTCCAAGTTGATACGATATTCCAGCCCTGGTATTTCCTATCATGATTTCCTTGATAGAGGGTTGCTCCTCACAAGGAAGATACAAAATCAAGAGTTCCAAATGATGAAGTTGAAATCATCCTTTCTTCAATTTTACGGACGCCATCACGAGATGGTTGACCGTTATGAAATATCTGTTTCACAGAGGACGACGGATATGTTCAAATTGTTGTAACTACAATCCCGTCCCCTTTTCCCGAATGTGACCTACCGAATTAGACGTATAACCGGGTGTTTGTTATTACATGAGCTACACGACGGGTTGCACATGTGGAGCATGATCTGCTTACCCTTCCGGAGCACCTGAGATCACCTCAGTTTTTGGTTGGGCTCGTGTAACTCAGTCTTTGGTTTTCTTTGTTGTGTTTTGTGTACTGTTGTTTGTCTGTTGATCTTTTTCTGTTTTAGCAATGGCGTTGTCAGTTTATTTTCGACTCATGTATATGAATGTCCCTTTGGTATCTTTCGCCTCCCCTTTGCTAGTAAGTTGAGACACTCACATTTCGTACTGGTCAACAAATTTGTATTTGTCTTTTCACAAAAACCAACAAACTAAATGACGAAGACTTAAAGTACCCATCTAAAAGCACTCGCAGTTACTGAAAGCATGTTTAAAGCCAATTTGAACTTAGAGTATTGGAAGCAATAACATTACCAATATAGCGATAAGTGTTTACTTTTTTATATCTGCAATAACAAAGTCTATTTAAATATTTGGAATAAATAATTGGGCTTTGATTCATTGTTTATCTTTTTTTTTACTTCACAAGTATCAGATTCAATTTTACCAAAAGACTGCAGTGAATTACCAGTTGGAAGTGTCAATGGAGTATATAAAATCTATCCTGGCTATGGATTAGAAGTGAACGTATATTGCGAGATGGAATCTGACTGTCATGGATGGACGGTAGGTTTGAAGCTTGATTTTCTTAATTGTTTTATTTAGACTTTTAAGAAATGCCTTTTATTATCAAACAAAGTACTTGACGTGGTTCTTTCGGTTCTGTTGATTGGCAGACTGAATCATTGAAATTTTTTTTTCTCGTAAAAATCAAAAACCGCAAGAATTACTGCTGTCACCTTTGGTCCAATTGGCAGATTTGTTTTTTTTAAATTAGCCGACAACGATGGATGACAGATGCCAAGTGATGACAATAAATCTGGACTTTTAAGTCAAGTGAACCAAACAACTAGATTGACCCCAAAATAAGTTCATGTGCCCGATCATAATTTAGAATTTTGTTGATGATTATCCTCTGTCATTCATGAACGGTGTTTGTCATTTTGGAAAATTAATTGCAGATCGTAAATAATCTCTGTTGTGTTTCATAACTACTTTTCTCGACTCTGATGGATTGAGAGCTTTACTATGTTTACATATTGTATATAACAAAAACTGAAAAATAACAAAAGATAGTGTAAACAAAGAATATCAAATACATATTCAAGCCAATGTTACTCATAGTTCGAGCTTAACTTGTTTGTCGTTCAATTTTGTTTTAAATATTACTTTATTTGTTATTCATTCATGAGTCAACATTGGTCCATCTAAAATTTGTTTAAAAGCTATTCAATGAATACGTTTAGCTGTGTTAGAATAACATTCGGACTAAAGATGAACACATATGTTTTAACAGTGAGATAGAATAGATTTAAAAAACAAAAGCACTGTAACGTAACATTTTCTACAATAACAAAATATTTCGAAATCAATTCCATCTTTTGATTAGCAGAACAGTTTGTACAATAAAACCGGAGGCTGTTATCAAGACTGTACAAAAGAACAAACAAAGGACTGGTACTTGTTTTGTAGAAAAAAACAATATCAAAAATTTAATTGACTGATTTGACGCAGTTTGCATAATTTTTTCGCATTGTGATATGTAATACCTTGTAAGTTTCATAACATTTTATTTCAAATCTAGAACAAAGAATGACTTTTACCACAAAACTTATTTATAATCATTCAATGAAAATTAAGTGTAACTCAATATACATCATCTAAGCACCTAAACTAAAAGAAAAAATTGAAGTACATTTTCTTAAAAAATTCATATCATACTGCTTACAATCTTTTAAAAATTTGTCATCAAAAACATTTGAATATTCGGTAAAGGCAGAAACCTTGATATATATGACGAGATGACAAGATTGTATATGTTACAGGTATATTCTAAGTTAGGCATATAATTGAAGAATGTATGAACTTTAAGGCAATTTATAAAATGCCTAACCTTGACAAGTTTTATATAAAATGATTTGCAATACTAAGTTATTTTTTAAAATGCTTGATATTTTTTATGCAATATTCAACAAATTACCTTTTGAGGTTCAGGAATTTGAGTTTGAAATAAAAAATGTAACGATTAAGTAAAACTAAGTTGATTTTTCCAATACCAGCAGGGAAAGTTTATATGTCTATATATATAATTAGTAGTCACGGAACTATGTTAATCTTTTCATGAGGGCAGAATGCCAAATTGTTCTTACAATAGATTTGCCTACCTAGCTTGGGTCTTACTGTTGAATAGGCGAAGTATATATTCATATACCCCAGTCAGCCCTTGGGATAAAAAATATTTTGAGATACATTTTCATGTATTGACAGAACACTATCCAAGACTGTGTTTTGTTGTTATGCCAAAAAATTGCGTATCTTCATCTTCACTGCCTCATGATATTATTGCGTCTTTACAATCAGGTAAAGTTCGATCTTTAGTGCTACTTACACTCTCTGTTAGTCAAAAGATGTAAGTTAACCTAATCATGCTAAAGTTAATTTGGATCTTTTGGGAACACAGTAAATAGAAGAAGATATTCATGTGTGTGCGGTTTGAGAAAAGCCCATGTTTTCTAACGCTAAAGTGTTTTATCAGAAAAGGTTTTGACAGAGCTGAATGTGTGATGATAAGGGTTTCAGCAAATGTAGCTGTAGTGCTAATGGAAAGACCAGATTTTACACCAAACGATGATTTGCAAAAAAAAAAAAAAAAACAAACGGGACATATTTGTAAAAGTTTCTGCCATCCAAATGTTACATGAAATAATAAAAATTGTCAGTGTTTGTGGGAATTGCAAATAATTAAGTAAAATTAGTTTTTAATTGTTAAAACTCTAAAAAACCTGTAGTTGAATTGAGTCATGATCAATGAATAAACTGCTCTGTTGTTCATAACACTTTCAGTAGCTCAGTTTTATGAACATTTCATTCTAAGTAATTGTACAGACATTTTATAAAATTGCCTGTAAAAGAGAGGCGAAAGATACCTAACAGTGTATATAAAGTGCGAATCTAGTTAGTTCATTTTCACTGTTGTATGCGAGTATGTCTATTGTAGAATAAGGATGATGGAAAAACTGCGTTTGTTTACTCTTTGAAAATACAAAATAATAGATTTGAATGTATTTTTTAACAGAATTTCATTAGAATATAACTTTTTAATGTATAATAACAGGTTTAAAGTCCAAAAAAGTGTTATTTAAGCAGCAGAATCCATAATATTGATAACTGAATGCGATTCATTTTAACTATAGATGCGATGAATTATCACTGTAAGTGCAATCATTTCTGATGTGGAATTTTTGGAAGTGCGATGAAATTTCATTGTCGTTTTATATGTATTCGACATACAACAACTGAAAATAGTTTTGAAATGACTTTAATATTGATGATATTTACAATTTGAAATGCAGGCTAGTCGTAGATGCTTACTTGAATATACACGTGGATAACCACGTTCATATCATGAATATTCGAATATTGTTGGTGAGTTTGCTATTAGCTTGTCATAGAACCGAAAATTTACTGGAGCAGAACATAAAACGTTTTTCTACGACGAACTTTCTTTGAAAAGTTTTATAACTCGCTTAAAAAAGCTTTGAACATTTGTCACTTCGTGTCATACATATTTCTACCGTATTGATAGGCTTTTGCACAACGAACAGTACAAGACTGTACAACGAACGGTACTAAAGAAAGAAAACAACTACAAAGAGAATGAATCGTACAGTGTAAAAATTCTGAGGTCAGTTTTTCAAGTAAATGTCTTCAAATAAAATTAAAACAACGGGTTTCTCATTCGTATTATGTATTTTAACAACAACAAAGCACAAAATACACGGTCGCATTTAGTGAAAGAGTCAACCAACTATGATCTATTTGTAGTTTAATCAAGTTTGAGTTACACATAGTGTTTGTTTCGCGATGTTTACAAGTAATTCACAGACCTGTCTATTTAAAATAGTCACATGGTTTTCATGTAATATAAATGATATACAATGCTGCCATGAGCAGTAAACTTTGTTTTCATAAACATTGAATACTTAACTGAACAGTTAGTCAATTAGTCTTTGGTGTAAATATAAGAACGGTATATCTACCAACATTGCTTCGCGATGTAGCGATTAACGTCCGGATTTAACTGTACGGCGGTTATACCCCGTGGTATAGAACCATTTAAACATGCAACAATAAACTGTTTTCAATATTTCTTTGTATACTCACAATTGCGTGTTGGCTTATTTGTAACACCGACTTATAAGATATTCAAGCATATTTAAGGTGACTCGACTGTTGCTTGAACTTTCTTTACTGTAAAAGATTTATACACAATGGCATGATAAATATTAATTATCCGGTCATCCAAGCGTCAATTGTTTGTGCAAGATGAAAAATAAAGGCAACAGTAGTATACCGCTGTTCGAAATTCATAAAATCGATTGAGAAAAAACAAATCCGGGTTACAAACTAAAACTGAGGGAAACACATTAAATATAAGAGGAGAACTACGACACAACAGAAACACAACATTAACATGTAACACACACAGAAACGAACTATAATATAACAATGGCCATTTTCCTGACTTGGTACAGGACATTTTAAGAAAAAATAGTAGGTTGAACCTGGTTGTGTGGCTAGCCAAACCTCCCGCTTTTATGGCAATGTTAAATATAACATTAAAATGACAACATTACATGACAGGTCTACAATACAAATAAATGGGAAAACGTTTCCACTAATCGTGAAATGAAGATCGTTTTGTGAATGCTCTTTGTTATCTCAAATGCATCCATTAGAGCTATTTTCCTAACGCTTGTAGTTTAAAGGTTTGGTTGGCTTGCTTGCTTTGTTTGTATAAACGTTTGCTCAATCTTAATTACAATGCTAAGGCAACATTTACACAATCAAGGCCAACCACACCTTTTAACTACAAGCATTAGGAAATTAGCTCTAATAACGTTTAATGTGTTAGTATGCGATGTAGATATAGACCGAAACAGAAACTTTGCTTTTCCGGTGACGTGGATTGGCTTAACTGTCCAAGATATATGTATTTAATGATGACGTGTCATAGTAAAGAATAAATTTTATCCTACATATAGATCAGGACAAATTATTTGAGAAAATAGAATTGACTATATTAGCAATAAGTACCATATTTAAGGAATTTATTGATATATTATCTCAGACTTTCACTCACTAAGAATGCATATAAAATCAATCCTTCTGACTTCATAAATTTTGTTAGAGAGTCGGCTGAATTAAAACTTTATATAATGAAAATTAATTAATTTCCTTCTGTGAAAATGCATCGCATATACAATAGAAATGAATCGCCCTACAATGAAAATGAAAGTCTAGTATCATTATTCGACAGTAAACATGAATCGCATAACGAAAACAGCATAGTGGAATTTGATTCAATATCAACAAGCTGAATAATAAAACCTATTTTAAGTTAAACAACATTAATAATTATGTTAAAAGGTACATTTTTCTGCAAATGAAACTTAACTGCTACTTTTAAATCTCTTGCACGCTCTGTTCGTGAACTATTCTTAATATTTATCTATTTGTGTATCAATTTTGCACCTGGATGGCTGTAGGCGCGATAAAAACCCGTCCGCATCTCATACCTATATCATGAATTTATAAAAACAGTACACATTATATATTATTTCTTATTTAATTCAAAAATCTTGAATTTGTCGTCTGTTTATTTATCATTCTACATCAGAAATTCATCACGGATACAGTGAAAATGACATTTTAGGATTCGCACATTACATACGCTGCCTAAGGGACATTCAAACTTATCAGTTCAAAATAAACAGACAGCGCCTTGGCAAAAAAAATAAAAGGACCAACACACAAACAACAGTATACAAAACAAAACATAGAAAACTAAGATTGAGCAACACGTAAAAACATGAAAAAGTAAAATAACAAAAATACCAAACTCCAAGGAAAATTCAAAACAGGAAGTCCCTTATCAAATGACAAATAAAAAGCTCAAACACATCAAACGAAAGGAAAACAACTGTCATATTCCTGACTTGGTACGAAACATAGACATAGATCGTTATTTATATTTTGAAGGTCCTTTCACATTTCATATATATCCTAGAAAATGTAGATAAGGTGGAAAGAAGACGATAGTTCAAGTACCCAGGAAGAAAACAATTATATCACTTACATAAGTCATCATATTAATTTGTTTGGAAGAATTAATAAATGATATAATGCCACAAAATGGACGACGAAAGTACACTTCAATGAAACTCATTTTTAAATTGTCTATATGAAATTAATTTGTATCAAAAAAGTTATTACAAACCTCAGAATAAATTGAAATACTTAGCTAATTTTCTATAAGGTGGCACTACCAATGATATCAAAAGGACTTATATACGAAATATGACAATAGGTGATGACATACATGTTCTGCATGATTGATTAATACACAATCTACAAAATTTAATGCAAATAGTACGAAAAAATTAAAAACATATATTCAAAGGCATTATAACAATGAACGTCTGAATATAACTGTAGAACTTACTTTAGTGTGGGTTTTTTCCTATATAATTAGAAAAATGAGTCAAAAGAATTATATAAAGGTCTAAAACTTAATTACTTTCTTATTACGCAAAGAAAAATTTAAAAAAAATATTTTGATAAATAAAAATGTAATTTTTTAGCTGCGTCAATCATTTAAAGTTACTGTTTTATTTTCATTTATTTAATAAAAGAAGATATATCAATGGTTTGACAAGAATGCCATAAAACATCAATACAAATTAATTAAAGTTATTTCATCGGAAGTTTTGCACAGCAATATTCGAGTTTCATTTATGAATTATTCAGATGCTTTATCTCGCAAACAATGGTAGACGGGATAAATAGTCAGTCGATGTATGTCAGTGAGAGATTTATACTATACAAAAAAATCTCATTCATTTGGTACATAACTGTTCTTTCGCAACGAATTTAGCGATTTCTTCCATTTTATTGGTTAATAATTTGATGAAGTTAAAACGAATTTGACCCCGGCCTGCTACAATCTATATGTGCCTGCTACAAGTCAACAGCCTGAAATTCATTGGCTATTGTTGTTGCTGTTTTTAATATTTGGTTTTCGTTTATTGATTGTCTTAAATCAGCCCGTTGGTTTTTTCGTTTTAACTGTTACACATTTTGTCATGTCCGGACTTTTATAGCTGACTCTACTGTATGTGTTTTGCTCATTGTTGAAGGCCGTACGGTGACCAATAGTTGCTTAAATCATCCTTATTTGGACTCTCATTTGCAATCATATCATATCACATTATTTCTAAGCAATTCTGTTGATGGAATCGTATAAAATTATGGTAGTAGGCTATGAGTACACGAACAGTAAAGTGTACAGTAAATATTCGATTTGCATAACTTCAGATAGCTGTGGTTCATAAACAATTTTAATATTATCCAAAATGATTTTTCATACTTTTTCAAACTTCTTTTTCATTGAACAAAAATGACTTTATCGCTATGCACTTCTCTTTGTCTTTTTCTCATGTTAAGGTAACACTGAAATAACTGATAACTAAAAGATCTCATTGACACTGCATTATTTATTTTGAAATATATCACGACAACAAGTTAAACTTCAATATCAATTATTGAAATTTCATTTAAAAAAATTGTACTTTTTTCTTTTAATTATAATTTGTACAAAACTGCGATAACTGGCGCATCCGCAGTACTGGATTAAACTAATTCCACCATACATTGCTAATAAAATCATATCATAAAGGTAAACAACCAAAGCATCGTCGGTGCTGTAAAGCAGTCAATCTGGCTTGAACCCCCATGCATGCATACTGTCATTTCTTTACAAATAGTTTATTCAAAGCAGTTGTTGGAAGGTCTCTAGTTTAAAAGAATTGAAAGGGCTATACATGCGACTTGAATACAATTTCTCTCAATTTTGTAGATATTATTATAACAGATTTTATTGTATGTTTTTTTATGAACCTTTCGTTGAACCACTGGCTGAGGTTTTGAAAAAAGACCAGTTATTTCGAGATATGAAATTTTTACATTTTCGCACGCTTTTAAGACTCATTGCGATTTAGAGACCTTTCTATTGCAGAAGACTGTATGGTGACATATGAATATACTTTAGTTAAATATGTCGTTTGGTTGACGTCTAATTGGCAATTATTCTATTTCTCCTTTTATTCATGTAACCAGAAAAATTGTTTGATTTGAATCTTTTTTTTAATCTCATTTCATGTAAAATTTGCAATGCTGCTTATTCCTTTAAAATATGTCAATAAACAGTTTACTCCAGCTGATTTATGATCTAAATATTTTATAATTTACTGCTTTCTACCTTATTATTCAGATATCCTCATAAGTAAACAACTTATTTTTGCATCTTTTAAATTTATGATGTTGATGAACTTAATAGACATTCACTCTCTATCCCGTAAAATAAGAGAAACAAACCATTGATGCCATGAATGAATGTACGATGCAGTAATGGAAAAGTATTTTACCGATAATCAAATCTCATAAATCGATTAAGAAGAAAAAAAAGGTAATACAAAAACTTAGGGAATTCCATGAACTCCAAAAGGAGCGAGACCGGTGTGAGGACAGGGTACACATCTCCACACTGAGTTAAAATGTCACAATCGGGAATATAATACATTCGGTAAAATTACATATTAGACTCCTATTCTGGTATCTAAATATCTAAGACTGCAAAAGCATGTCGATAGTGAATTGATTCACAGACATGGCGTATCATATCGTATCGCTCAACTATTTCGTGATGGTGATTGTTAATCTTATGTAGTGTCGATTTCAATCGTTCTTCCTCTTAAATCTGTTGTGGCAGTTTTTTATGTGAGGAGAACAACTCAATTGAGATGCTTAAACGCCTTGCAATGGGGCAGAAGGTATGTTTCTGTTGAGAAACTGGAAGTTAGTGATTTGAAATTTGAAATCATCAAGTTTGTCATAGATTCTTATTTGAAGTATGAACGTTTTAAATATTCTTCTTTTATTCTCACCCTCGTTTAATTTTTTTTTATGTAAACTAACATTAATTTGAAATAGAGAATAGGTTTGAGCGTTTGCTGCAAAATCGCATTTTAATTACCAAGCAACATAATGTAAAGAATCCACCGTAAACTACTGAGGCAGAACTCCGCCAAATAACGTGGGTGATATCAAATGCTCTAGAATGGTAATAAAAAACTGCTTTGATATAGGACACAAATTTTGCTTGATGTACAACTACCTGACAGTTAAAAATAATATAGAAACTGGCCTAAAAAAACAAAAAAGACACTAATAAACAACTACTATTAATACCAATATTGATATGTGTGCTAGGTTGTTCAACGACGACTTGATGGAAGCACAGACTTTAATGTGGAATGGGTAAATTACAAGGCAGGATTTGGTGAACTCAACAGGGAATACTGGATAGGTGAGTTTGAACAAGGAATTGTATATTTAAAAATAATGAAAACGCGGAGCGATAATCCATGTCTGTTTCGGACGGAAGTATGATATATGATATAAACGATCATAACGAAGGTCCATTTCCTGATATATTTATCGGTCATCTAAATTCACTCGGTCAACTTGCTTGAGAAGATATAAAGGAGGATAAAAACCAAAACAAGTATAAACTACTCTCCCATGTAAAAGGTAAGGACTTGGGTATCATTTTAATGCTTTTTCGACCTATGTTTGCCATAAATTTGTAATAAAAAGTCTTATTAAAATAGACCTCTGTTGTCAAATTTGCGAGAGTTTCATCCGGATTACAAAAAAAAAAAACATATGGTGTTTTGAATTTTTTCTAAAGGATCGATAACCATGAAAGACAAAAAAAATAGTTGATAAGATTATGAGGCTGAAACCTTACAACTTGGACTCTTTTTTATGCTTCTGTTTAACGTTCTGAATTTTCTACGATTTTCCAAAATTTCAATTTGGAAATTCATAATCTGTCAAAACGTGTCTAAAAAATTTTAGTTGTGCGTAAACATATACACCCACACACTATATTCTGGTAAAGGTTAAATAACTAATTGAACTAGACATGTCAATATAATACAATTCAAAAGCTTATTTTTTTTTGTAACATGGTGTTGATTTTATGATAATGGTGATAAACACGAATTCTCTATGATTTTTCAAAATCCCATATTTATAGATAACATTGACGCCATTTTGTTCAGTGAAGATCCATACCGACGAAAAAATTCCAAAGATCTTACAATCTAAGATTCTTTCATCTTGCAATAGTATTAAGACATTTGACTTTTTCTACGCTTTACACAAGTATTCTCCATTCCAAACTAAAAGACAAATCGAAAATGTTGGTCCTGCTTTTTTTCATAAAAAAGAATGGCCAACGTAGAAACAAGTATCCTGTCTTAGTTAGGGTTAAATAGTACTTTGTAAAAAATCACTCTGATTCGAACAATATTCTGTGAAACTGACATTATCAAGATATTTGAATTCTTGATTGACAACATATTTGTTACGTTTGGAGGACGTGTTTTTCTACAAACAATCGGCATTCCCATGGGAACCAACTGTGCTCCTCTTGTCGATGTATTCCTTTGTTCCTACAGGAACTTCCTAGGAAGAAAGAGAATAAGGTAGCATTACCATTTAACTTCATTTTTTGCTATATAGATGATGTTCTCTCACTAAAGAATTTAACATTTGGTGACTATGTTAAACACAACTATCCCTTCGAACTTTAGATGAAGGATACAACACAACAGATACAGTTAAGTCTGCTTCATATCTTGACTGACAACTAGAAATTGAGGGTCGGTTAAAAAATTTACGGCAAAAGAGATGATTTCAGCTTCTCAATTGTGAACTTCCCATTTCTATGTAGCAACATATCAGCAGCGCCTGCATACGGAGTACATATCTCCCAGTTGATACGATATTCCAGGGCTTGTATTTCCTATCATGATTTCCCTGATAGAGGGTTGCTGTTCACAAGGAAGCTATTAAACCAAGAGTTCCAAGTGATGAAGTTGAAATCATCCCTTCGTAAATTTTACGGACGCCATCACGAGTTGGTTAACCGTTACGGAATATCTGTTTTACAGAGGACGACGGATATGTTCCAATTGTCGTAACCACAATCCCGTCCCCTTTTCCCCAAATGTGACCTACCGAATTAGACTTGTCGATATGAGCAACTGACGGGTGCCACGTGTAGAGCAGGATCTGCTTATCCTTTCAGAGCACCTGAGATCACCCCTAGTTTTTTTTTATGTTTTTTTTGTTGGGGGGGGGGGGGGGGGTTCATGTTGCTCAGTCTTTAGTTTTCAGTGGGTTTTTTTTGTGTCCTGTTCTTTGTTTGTCTTTTTCTTTTTTAACCATGGCGTTGTCAGTTTATTTTCGACTTATGAGTTTGAATGTCCCTTTTGTATCTTTCGCCTCTCTTTTATACAGAAAGATATTTATAGAACCAACAAATTTATATTTTACAATGTACATCATTTGATATTTTCCTATTTCTAACACCTTTTTTTCCTTTTTTTTATTTTCATATTTAAACACAGAGGGAACAAGACGACATGGGTTTATTAGATTGACAATGACAGTCAGTGGACTCCAACAGTTGACAGTGCTTCATTTGATGTTAGCTGAGGCGAAAGCTGGACGATGTCAATGGGACGAACAATTTCAGCTTTGATTATCAAACTTTATTTTTAAAATTTTAATCGATTGATGCACAGCCATACCTACTACATACACTTGAACATTACTGGTAATCATATTTTAGCATCACCAGTATGATAATCTTGAACAATATTTCATCTGTGGTATAAAGCACAGTTTCAACATCACATGAATCAAGTTCAGAATGTTGTTATATTCAAACAGGATTACAGCAGATATCCTACATATTCATTTTCAACCGGATAGCATTTGATACTAGAGCCTCCTCTTTTCAACATGGACCCCAAAAGTATGTTTTGATTCTGTTTCTAATGTGGACATTATTTCTCCTAACATTCAAGCAGATCATGTAGGATATACCATTTTAGCAGATTGGCTACAAATGCAGCACTTCAAACCGTGCTCAAAGAATTAAGAAGTATTGAGTTCCGAACCAATTGTAACCAACTAGGGACGTTGCTATAGATCCAGCTACTAGTACTTGCATCCTTAGAATCTGACAACATACACCTTTAGACAGACTCCTTTACTTTTTAAAACCTGTCAAAACCAAGAAACAAGAGAATTATATTATGTCTTAGCTAAACAAGGTGTGTTTATCCTTTTCCCAAATGTCTAATTTAATTAAACAATTCGGTTTAATTTCTCTATTAGCTTTGGAAAATTTACTGTTGGAACTGAAAGTGTTAATTATTGTGGATTACAGTGAATTAATTTAAAATATAGATGCTTATCAAACTACTATTTACACACACAATGTGTTTTTACTTTGCAAGACTGCAGTATACATGTACAAAATGTATATACAATAATCAATACCGTAGGAAAGTTACCTCCAGAAGTCAAACAGTACATAATAGCTGTGAACTTTGAACTTTTGACAAACACATCAGTTAATTATATTTTTGAATTGTCAGAACCGGTATTAATCATAATCTAATTAGGATTTTGTGACGTATATATAATGTATTATGTACCTATCTGTAAATTGTCTATTTGAAGATAATGTTTTTTCAATATCTTAGATATTATGACAGTTTTTGAACTCATATAGTCAAAACGACTCCGTTCGGGAAAGATAAGGTTAGCCAACTGCATAAGTACAAATAAAACATATCCCTATTATAAACCCTCAGATTAATATTGTCAGTTAAGAGATTAAAGCAAAATACCCCATCCAAACCACTTATCTCGCAAATGTTCAACCCTTTGAAAAACTTATTTCAAATCTATAAACTGCATAACATGTATTCAAAGATGAGAAACTCCATCTTTAAACAGAATTATTTAAAACATATTAACTGCATAAAATATGTACTAAGTTAGAAAGAATCATTTAAAAATCTAAGTGCATAAACATGTACTACAAAGTTTATTTGGCTTCAATCCAGATCACTATAATTGTTAGCTTATGCATTGTAGACACTACACACACATGTACAGCATGTTTTGAAGATCATATTGTCAAGTATTAGGATGCTGGTCCTCAGACAGATACTTAACAGTATGTCATCTTCTTCACAAGATTGGTTAAGGGAAATATCATCATGTTTAATACTGAATATCGTTTTTATAGCATTCCATGCTTGTATTCCAGTACCAGTTTTGATAGACCCCTGCTACTCTATTAGCACATGGGAAGTCCTCCATGCAGACCCTGCACACCCCCGGCTGCAGATAAGACGCCAAGTGTCATCCCCTCGTGGAGAACCCTTGCTCCACATCCATCAACTAGCATATTTTCAGACAGGCAGTTCTTTCTCACTCTTAATTGCATAATGAATTTCATCTGTTAGAACTTTCTTTTTTTGAAATTATGTAGAATATCAATTTTAAAGCAATTTCATCATTGAATACTGCATATCATTTTTATAGCATTTACATCAATAAATACTCAATATCATTTGTATAGCATTCTCATTATTGAATACTGAATATCATTTTTATAGCATTCTCATGTTTGAAACTTTGAATATTGAGTATCAAATTTATAGCATTCTCATCATTGAACATTAAATATCACTTTTATAGCATTCTCAAGTTTTTGAAACTTTGAACATTGAATATAATTTTTCATAGTATTGTCATTTTTAAATATTGAATATCATTTATGGCATTCTCGTGTTTGAATACTGAATATAATTTTTTTAAAGCATTCTCATGTTTGAATTCTGAGTAACATTTTAATACCATTCTCGTGTTTGAATACTGAATAACTTAAGTATGCACGAGAAATCTTAACATATAGCTTCTAATGTTTGAATACTGATAACCATTAGTCACATTATAATGAATTAGTACGTAAACATATTGTTTCTTTATTCTACATTGGCTAGAGGTATAGTGGGGGGGGGGGGTGTTGGGGTTGAGATCTCACAAAACATGTTTAACCCCGCCGCATTTTTGCGCCTGTCCCAAGTCAGGAGCCTCTGGCCTTTGTTAGTCTAGTATGTTTTTTAATTTTAGTTCATTTATATGTTTTGGAGTTTAGTGTGACGTGCATTTTCACTGAACTAGCACACAATTTTAGTTAGGGGCCAGCTGAGGACCACCTCCGGGTGCGGGATTTTCTCGCTGCATTGAAGACCCATTGGTGGCCTTCGGCTGTTGTCTGCTCTTTGGTCGGGTTATTGTCTCTTTGACATATTCCCCATTTCCATTCTCAATTTTATTTTTTTCTCGTGATATCATTAAAGGTGAATCGATCAAAAACCCTGAATCCTTGGGGACACTTCTGTTTCCATCTGAGTTTTTGGACCTTGGTGG